TGCTTCCTTTCAGGCGAGCACTTGCAGCTAAGAAGCACAACCAGCTGTTAAGAGAATTCCTGGTGAGAGGCAGAGCTTAAACCTCACTTCTGTTGGTATTTTCTACTGGGTATATTAACTGGCCTCCCTGATCAGAGCATTAGCTTTTGTCCCACACTAAGTTGGCTAACTCTGGCTTCATTGCATAAATAGCATGGTTGCCTAACTTGGGACTGTGGATTTCAAGAGGTGACAAGAGTCCTTAAAAATGAGGTGCTGTAATACAAGCCTTACAATGCCTAAGTCCTTCTGTGAGTGCAGTGAATTAATGTGTCAACAGCACAAATAAAGCAGGAAAAGAGCATTGTTTGTAAGCAAGCCTCAATTATGACCTAGGAAGAGCATCTGTAGCTAGGTCTTCAAAAGGGTACTTGATGTGGTAGATTTCTGAGATATAAAGATGTGCCCACTAGACCCTGCATGAAACTAGAAAAGCCATTTTGCACATAAAAATAGCCAGCCAATGCTATTACAACTTCCATCTATTTTTTCTGGTAAGTCTTGTACCTATCCTGTAACCATTATAGAGATGCTATCATTTGTTATTGAAATAAATAGGACACTCTGGACACTTCGGGTTGGTCTAATAAAAGATATCAAATTCACCCAAGGAACCTTGTCTGCCTATGTCCTTAGACCAACACGGCTACAACCTAAACCCCTAGGACACTCTAGGGCACTGATTCACAAATTTTTGGTTGTCATATACCCCCTCTTACATTTGTTTAGGCTGCTATACACCCCTCTGTATTATGAATTATTAAAAAAAACTCACTAATACTGTAACCTTCCCACCAATGTAATAGTTATTGTAGTTTATTCTTCATTTTTCCTTCTTTCTTTTCCTCCCTCTTTCCTGTTTCTCTATTTCTCATATCATCTAGGGTTTGGCTGTGCAGACCAGTTTTACCACAAGCAAGGGTAGAGAAGGAAGAATGAAAAATAAGAGGGCTCTATGTCTGCTACAGCAATTCAAGTATAGAGCTTCTCAGGTATCCACACTTCTCCAGCTTACTGTTTTTACAAGCAAGCCAAAAGCTTCCAATCAGGATACTTAGTGTTAAGCATTTAAATAAAAATGTAGATACTTGGGTCAAGCAACTGTTGCTTTTCTGAAGTACTGAATACCTTCCACTTTTGTCTGAAGCAGTACAACTTGCTCTACTCTTTCTCTGGAGAAAGAGAAGTCTTCTAAGCCAGTGAGAGATGTAAGTGTTCAACCATTTTGTGGGGAGGAATGGGGAAAAGGCACCTATATTCAGGAGATTTTGGTAGCCACGTTTGAAAGTCAGCCCTAATGTGACCTTGCTTTACCACTTGATGAAATGGATATGATATTGTGTATTTCTTGCTTTTTACAATGATTTTTGTCCTTTGTAAAACGTACACTGTACGTGTTTAAGATTTCTCTTTCAACTCTTGCCACCATACCTAGTTGTATTATGAGATTTGCTGAACTCAACTTCCAGTCTGAGTTCATGCTCTCCTTTAAGAAAAATAAAACTAGACTTTTCAAATTGAAGTGAAGGAAGGAGGGGGGGCATTGTCAAATGCACTTTTGTAATCTCTTTGCAACTTTCAAATATGAAATTGGAAGTAAGCTGGGAAATTAAAGACCTTTATTATTGCCCCCCCCCCATCCCATCTCTATCTATATTTTCCTTTTTCCATTTCTTCCTCTCATACCCTCTGGTGTTTAGTGTTCCTTAAATTGGGCTGCACAGCCAATCTAAACTTAAAAATCCTGTATCATTAGCTATGTGAGCATCAGAATGATGAAAACTAACTGAAATACACACAACTAAACGCTCATCTCTACAGAGGAGGCACAATAAAGAGATAATCACTTTGTGGGGGGAAAAACAGCAAAGCTTTTCTGCACTTCTCTTAATACTTCTGACTGTTAAAAAAAAATTAAAAAAAATTAAGTGCGAGTTCCTTATTTTCTCATTAGGGCCAACCTTTTTTGCCTTGCCTGCCACAAGTTAGCCCCGCACCCTTCCCAAGCGCTCCTCCAAACCTTATCTCTCACTTGATTTGCTCAGCTTTCCGCTCCCTGCCTGATCTGCTGCTCAGCTCCCCACCCTGCACTCCCAGCTTGATCTGCTGCTCAGTTTTTTGCTCCCTCCCCTGGGCACTCCACCTGATCTGTTTCTTAGCTTTCTGCTCCCTGCCTGATCTGCTCCTCTGCTTATAGGTCCTGAACTCCCAACCCTGATCTGCTGCTCAGCTTTCTACTCCTTGCCCTGTGCTTTTGGGTTTACCTGTTGCTCTACTTCCTACTCCCAGCCTGATCTGCTGTTCAGTTTTCTGCTCCTTGCCCAGTCTGCTGCTCTGCTCCCCGCCCCGTGCTCCCAGCTCGATCTGCTGATCAGCTTTCTACTCCTTGTCCTTGCCCTGTGCTCCTGTGTTTAGCTGTTGCTCTGCTTTTTTGCCTGATCTGCTCCCTGCCATGTGCTCCCAGCCTGATCTGCCGCTCAGCTTTCTGCTCCTTGATCTGCTGCTGAGCTTCCTCCTTCCTCCTCCCTCCCGGCCCACCCCCGCCCGGACTGTAAGCCTCCCGCCTCAAAGCTGCTCTCCCAAGGAAGCAACAGCCCCCAGCAAGCCCTCGGGCCCCGCCCCTATGCGTCATCCGCGCGAAGCCCCGCCCCCTTGTTGACACTGGCCTCGCTCCGCCCCTGACGCTCGCATCAGCTGCTTCTGTGACGTCACGGGCCCGTGGCCCGGCCCCGGCG